CCCTACACGCTCAACACTTGACCTTCTCCGTATGCTGAAGCATTACTAGTCAGATGTTACTAGTTATTGCTGTTGCTCCAACTTTTTTTCCATTGTCTTCATTCATCCCTTATTAAGTGAAGCAAGAAAATACACTTATAAACAATTCAAAAGGGATCATAGTACAAAAATTCTGGGAAATGCATGTCATAATTAATAATGCCTTGTTTTTTTGGGACGGTGAGTCTTTAAAGATTGTATGATCTGGACTGTACAAACACTTTTTTTTCCCCCAGCATGGTAATCTAAAGATTTCATCCAGCCTCTTAGTAATGTTTTATTCTAAATTGTAAATTGCATGCTTAATCTTTCTAAATTGCATATTTCTCATTTTTTAAGCTGTATTTATGTAAGAATTTGAGAGGCAGTGTTTATATTTTTGGTTTGTTCTTGGTGGCTGTTGCAGGTAATGGCAAACACGTGCAGTGGCTACGTGGGAAGGATGGTGAGGTCTGGGTCTGGGTTATGGGAGAAGCCCCAGGTGACAAGCCGTATGAACAGATATCAGAGGAGCTAATAGCAGAGCGAGCCAGGCAACAAGCGCAGAAGGAGGCAGAAGAACTATGGTGAGGATTTAAGAATCTGAATTCAGGGGCCACTTGGCATAATGGGAGACATGGCCTTGTAGAAAGGTAGCTGGTAATGATGGGTAAAACTGGTAAGTATGTTTTGTGAACATTTGCTTTCACTTGTTTTGGCAACTTTTCAGCACATCAAAAATGTAATTTTATTGTTATTGAATACTGAAAAACAAAACTTTTTCACAAAAAAAAGAGAAGCAAATGTTTTTATTTTCTTTTGCTAAACTCTTGCCCAGTTTGTAAACAAATGAAAATGAAACAATCTGGTTCTGGAGTGATTAAATTAGAAATATATGTTGTATCATACATCTATGCCCACAATAGGGATTTGGTACATAAAATCCTTTAGAAAAATTGTTTTATTTGCGTATTCTGCTTAAACTTGAGAAGAAACTTCTTTACCGTGAGAGTGACAGAGCACTGGAACAGGCTGCCCAGGGAGGTTGTGGAGTCTCCTTCTCTGGAGACATTCAAAACCCACCTGAACGCCTTCTTGTGTAATCTCATTTAGGTTCCTGCTCTGGCAGGGGGATTGGACTGGATGATCTTTCGAGGTCCCTTCCAATCCCTGACATTCTGTGATTCTGTATTGCTTGTATTAATTCTTATCCTAGCAGTTCAGAAACTGATTATACCAAGTGCCATGCTGATGTTTCCAGCAGGGCCTCTACCAGCTTTTGGAGAGATTCAAAAGTGTTTTGATGCTTGATATTGTTGGGAAGTAGGCCACCTGCCTCCTGCACTTCCTTTCGTAGTGCACCACTGAAAAGTGACAGTTTAAGTATCAGATTATTCTATATTATTCGTTTTCATATGAGATTCTTCTTGCTTATAATGATTGCATATTTAAGCAGGGATTAAAAGCTTCAATCTGTGCTCTGCACTGCTTTTACATTGTCAGTACTAATAAATAATCTAGGTAAGAATCTGACAGACTTTTGCACTGATATTTGAAAGGCAATAAATTCCCAATCATGTTTTGCGAGACTGACAGAAAAATGTGGGGTTTTTTGTTTTTGTTTCAGCCACAGAAGTAAAAATATAGGGTATGACACAAAGACATTAAGAAGAACTTCTCTAATTTAGAAGATGTTATTTTAATTAGTCATTTATCAAAGATTAAAAATGTCTGCTTTCTGGATAGTTTCCTCAAATCTGATTTCTGGTAGATCTCTTGTTAAATATATTTTAATTCTTTCCTTGTGTATTTCCATGAGTTCTTATGCTAATTATTTGTTGCAACTAGTGAGCAAGTATTGATCCTTAATTAAAAAGAAAAAAAAAAAAATCGGTGTTTTAAATTATTTATTTTCAAATTATTTTCTGAAGGAGACAAAAGGAGGCTGAAATTACAAAGAAATTCCGGGATGCTATGGCTCAAGAAAAAGCCAGAATAGTGGCAGAAAAATGGAAAATAGAAATAGAAGATCGGAAAGCTGCCAAATTGGAGGAGGAAAAAATTCAGGAGGAACTGAAGGTTTGCATAGAATAATTTAGCTTTTTAAATAGTTTTTATATAGATTCAAAATTCTTGTCACCCTCAGTACATGTTTATTAATAAGCTTTAATAGCCAGAGTTGTAATTTTTCATCCTGGAATGTACAAATAGCTACATAGTGTTCACCAGAACAGCTGGGTGAGTGATGCGAAAAAATTGCATATCTCATTCAAAAGTGTGAGGGGAATCAAACTGGTTATTCAGCTCACGCATTAACAGAATTGTTCAGTCAGCTTTGCTGAGTGAATCATACTGGGGAGAAATTGTACAGTTGTGAAATGTTTAATTTTAAGTTAGTTTGCTTGAACATATTTTGTGTATTTTGGATGACTTATTCACATATTTAACTTGAAAATTCTGTCAGTACTTTCTTGATGATAATGAGGGGTGGATCTTTCTCCTACTCGACATATGGGAAAAGTCCAGTTGGCTTTGCTGGGAGAAGTTAATTTGCCTGATTTTTATTGACTTCATAATGAAATTTTTATGAGCTCAGTTATAGTAGTTTTATGTTTGCTTGAAGTGATGTTTTTTTCACATTCTCTTCTTGAAAATAACAATTTGAAAATTAACCAGGAAAATAAGGCCTCTGTCTACCCTTCTTATATTGCTTTGTAAAGATAAAAACTTTTTTAAAAATGAGAAAAAAATATAATTGGTTTAGTGTGCAGAGAAATTATCACAGTCTTCTGAGTCTGGACTGTGCACTCTGGGACTGCATGAGATTGCTGAGGCTGGGTTTCCATGGAGAAAGCCTGTAGCAAAATATGACTCCTAGGAGATCTGCATCCAGTGACCTCCATCTACACACCTCTTCCCTGCTGACAGCTTTCTATATCATTTTTCTCTTCCTGAGATGGTGATTAAGGGTGTGGAAAATACAGACAGACTCCCCCCTCATCCCTCTGTGATAGGAAGAACTCTGAAAAACTGTGTTAAATTTATGTGGATTGATTACAAACTAAAGTCAGCAAGTTACTTGTCATTCTGTAAACTGTGGGGCTGGGACTTGGGGGTGGTTATGTATCACGAATCAAGGGCAGGTCCTGTAGCCTCCTCTGCACAAAGTTGCTGATTTACCTGTGCAAAATTAATTTGAATTCATAGGAGAGAAGAGGGACTTTGAAATTTGATGTCAATGAGTAATGAAACTATACCTTTCAAGTGCCTTTATTAATGTATGAATAATGAGCAGAGCAACTAATTAAACACTCTTTTCTTAGCTTTCTGGAAAGCAAAGCCTTCTTGAACAAAGATGGTACAGACTTGTTCGCTTATATCTCTGTGATTGATTTACAGTACACTTGATGGAAATGTCCACAAACCCACTGTTATTCTGTTTCAAAGAGACTTTTTCAAAAAGCAGAGTGAGCAACTTGTGAGACTTTTAGTCACTAGCAGTCATAATTTTATATTAAGGAAAAACCTTAAGGAATCACGTCAAATTCTGATCATTTTCATATTGATGGAAACGTAATGGCACAGTGATCTGTGTTCCCACGGTTTCTTGGGAAGCGAGCAGGTATCCTCCATCCGACTGTATGCCTGGTAGGAGCAAGAATTCACTGTTCTACATGGGGTGACAATTTGGCTCAGTTTCTACTTTGAATTTCAAATACTAACCTTCGGCCAGGATTTCTTTAGCCCTATTTATAAAGTTGCCAACATCTTTATTTTAGCAAAGAAACACAAACCTTTCTACCCCCTCTATAGTTTCTTTTAAATCAAGCATTTGAAGAGAATATTTGCAAAAATTAAAATAAATGGACCAAAATTTTTAAGACATGACTCAGCAGAAATGAACTCTCTGGCTTTAAAAATGAGTTTGGAAACAAGATGTTATGCAGTAATTATTTTTTAAACACTCCTTTATTGAGTGTGCTCCCAGCATTTGCTGTATTAATACGACAGTCTAATTACACTTCCAGCCCTGGTTTTACACTTCTAAACCTTCAATTGGGTTTATAATTTGATATCTGTTAGGAGGTACTTGGACTAACATAGGGTTCCACCAGCAGAGATCCAAATGCAGGATCGATCCCTAGTAGTATAGCACCACACCTTGGCTACTCAGAAAAGCAGATTATCTATTACTTGGTCTTGAAAGAACAGATCTTGTACATAGTGTTGTAGAACTACTTAAAAATAGTAAAGACATTACAAAGACAGGTGAATTTCACAGGCTAATATGGGGAAATTGTTAACTTCTCTGTCCACTGGCTTGTTTAAGCTCACTTGGCTTTCCTTCTCCTTCCCATTTTACTCTTTTTGTAACTAGTCTTGTGCAGTGGAAGAAGTACATGAAATATTTACAAGCTGAATGAGTGGAAAGGTACCTAGGCAGAAAAATGGGAAATTTATGTTTCTGGCATCTATATCCAACTACAAAAAGTGAATAGAAATAAGGTGTTGGGAAAAAGATGAATTAATGAATCTACTCATGTATGACTGCAATCATTGAAATCAGAAATAAATGTACCTTTCATGAATGATTCACAGTGTGGAATGAGATGCAGATCACTTAGCAAGCCCATTTTAACAGGTTTAAAATATTTAATGCATTGATAATCATCCTTCTGTGATGATGACCAGGCCGTATTTAAAGCCATCTCCAAACTGGGGTATGAAAAATTCAGTCTCTGCTAATGCTTCATCCTCTTGAAGCATTTTGACTTGGGAGATTGAAACTCTGTCCTTTCTGCTGATGTGTTTAATTTCTAACCAAACTGTATCACAAATGCTCCTTTTTTAAAACACTTTTATTCCTCTTGACCCATCATGGGACTTTAGGGCTGTCTGCACTAGATAAATGAAAACTCACATATCAAAGTGAATTATGGTCCCTGTTTCCTTTTCCAACAGTATCAGAAATGTATTGCTTTCCTTGGTGTTTCTTAAGCAGAAATACCTTTAATCTATGATGGTAGAACATAAATGTTGACTGCTCTATTTTATTGTTTAAGGACAGCTATTCTTTTATGCACCTATCACAAAGGACAAATAAGAGAGCTAATTACTATCGTTAATCTTTTTGATAATTCAGAAAGACTATGAGATCATAGGCATAATTTTCTACTGTTATCAGTTGCTGTCAAGAGTCTTGAACAACAGGCAGAGCTAGGGCAATTTAACGGTACAAGTGTCAGTGAGCCAGGGGCCAGTGGTATCCTTCAGCTACATTTAGAAATAAGAGAGATACTCTCTCAGCTCGCTCTTCATATGGTCTACATAAGGCAAGGTAATATTAATAGTAAAAATTAAAGTAAATAGTAAAAATAACAACATCAGATACCTGCCAAAATTAATAATGTAAACACAGTTGACAGTAAAGTGAGATTGCTTCTTAAAGAATCCTTGGGAGATGAAATGTGTGTTAGCCAAAAGCTGCATATAAACTTTTATGGTAATTGTTTTTCTTCATCCATCAAAAAATATTTAGTAGGAGTTTTAATGAGTATGACATTTAAGGAGAAATAAGACTTATTCTCTTGATAGGCAAGAAGAGAGTAACAGTGCGTTATAATTTCCTTGCCCTTTTTTTTTTTTTTTTTTTTTTGTACAAGTTTATGACCTCTAATTCCAGTTGGGATTGTGGTGAGTGAAGTGAGCCTTTTTAAGCTGTAGTTCCAAGAGTTTCTATGTCCTGGCTGTTTCCCTTCTTATTAAAGACAACAGGTTTAGAATCAGCCTTCAGAAAACAGAATAATCAGTGCTTCAGTTCAGGACATCTCTAATAAGGACAGCTTATGCTTAATAGGAAGAACACACTTGAGTCCTATTGTGCTTTCAGTACACATCTGAGAGCTTTACTGTGCCCAAAAGTGCTGTGGACCTGATTCTTCAGAGGATTGCTGCCAAGTGTGGAGTTTAGGAATACAGTAAAAATGTCACCATCACCACTTACCGTACTGTGGCCTTCTCATGATATACCAGTGAGCATTCTGTCCTGATCTGAAAAAAAACAAACCCCTCTTCTCTCCAAGTAAATGTCAAGCACTTGAGTGGGCCTGTTACCTTTAAGTGCAAACAAGCTGTAAGTTCAACTTTTGTGCTTTGCTGTGTCAAGAAAACACTGAACTCATTCCCAAGGACAGCATATTTTGAATATAGGAATATGACAACAGGTTCTTGCTGGGGTTTTGAATCCAGTTCATTCTGAAAATGCCTCAGTTGGGCCCATTGAATTGCAATTAAAATAATTAATTTTGCTTTCTTTTGTGTGACCGTGGTTCAGAAGTTCTTTTTTTCTAGGCAGTTGTTTCTTTAACAATGTTGGAAGTGAGGCAGCTGTTACTTTCTGCTGGGAATCGGGTCTTAAGGGGTTTCTATCCTATTTGCGAGGAAGTGTGATACTAATTTAAAGAAAAATCTTTTCCCCATTGACATCAGTAATGATTGCACTGCTGGATCACTAGTAAAAACTAGCAAAGCTCTGATATTTTCCATGGGTAAATGGGAAAATCTGAGCCACTAATGAGGATAGACTATGTATCAGCAATTCGAGCTGTGAAGAGTCTCTAAGATCCAGAGAAAAACTCTTAGTAGATTGTCATTGTATCTATGGCAAGTTACCCAATCAGAGTCTGTTCCAGCATGTGCAATAAATCTCAGATCTCTCCCAATAAGGAATAATCCCTAGCTTTTTTTTCTGTCTCATCTAAAAGAGCGTCTTTGTGACCCAAAGTATGTTGTTACCTCCCTATATAAGCCATGTTGTGAATAGCATATCCTGGGGTATATCCATGACTGAAACACAACTTCTACATAAAGCATGACTGCATTTTGTATATTTGTCTCTGTGCAAATACATGCACAGCAAAGTGATACAAACCCTGTATTCCTTTTGAGACACTGGTAGTAGAAAAGAAAACAATGTCTGTACAAACACTTACTTTTCTGAGGCAAGTGAGAGAATTTTCTCAGAAAAAGGTTGGGAGGGAGTTGGACATACTTCTGCTGATACTCACAGCTCTGTTGGAAACTGTCAGGTGGTTTTGTGGAGAACATTGATCTCTGAATTCAGCCTGCTGTGTCAGCCTTGCTGAAAAAAGGCTATCCTGGAGCTGGGGACCCCAGGATTTCCAGATTCCCTTCTTCAGAGCAGGGAGTCCTAAGGGCCCAGATCTGAAGACAAGCTGTGCTCTCAACTCTGTGGTAGGTGACCTGAATGTATGCCCTGGCTCAGGGGTGGTTGCTGAGGGGTCTCAGGAGATTCAAAGCAGCTGTAATGCAACTGAGTAGCTGCTGCTCTCAGGGCTGCCAAAGACACTTCCTGCCAGCCTGAAGCATTGAGGGAATCCCAGGCATCCTTTGATTCAGAGAGGACTGTTGTAACAAATATGTCTTGCAGGTTTTGCCCTGATTATGATGGCAATCATTCAGCTGCCCTGCAACCCATAAGACTCCCCAGAGAGACCTCAAGAACTATCGCAGCGAGAAGCTCAGTTTTGCATTGTAAAAAAATAAATTGCTGTATTTTGGCTTTTCCTCAGAGCATTTTTAAAAAATCTTTCTGCAGCAAAAAATGCTGACCTAATCTCCTCTCATCTGCATTGGTCTGAAACATTAGAAACTAACCATGTCTAATATTAAATATTTAGAGCTGGCTGTAGTAAAGATATCAAACATTGTTAGGGCACGTATTTGCAGTAACAAGTAATGAATTTCTGGTAAATGCTCAACTGCCAGAGGCTAGGTAAGATCATTTAGTGTGTTCAAATTCTCCAGTGGAGTTAAAGCTGGAGAGGATTACTGCTGCCTTTTGAACTGCCAGTGTGTTCTGTTGCAGCAGGTTGGTATTTCTTGGCAATTTGCAACTACGTACTGAATTGTCACCTTCCTAGTTATTCTGGAAGAGCTGAAAGGGTCACGACACACAATATAAAACCTCTCTCAACTGTCAGGCAGAAGGTGACATTTGTAATTATTATAGTTCTTCACTCTCAGTTCCCATGTGCAGGATTTGGTTCATGGAGAGAAGCAGATAAACTGGTTGTTGTATTCTTCCAGTGGAATAAATGTGAAAAGGTCAATTGTTGTTCATGTTAAATACAAACATACACTTTTTACTCATCCTGGACGAAAGGATGTATTTTCTTTCCTGTGTCATACTAACAAAGATTATTTTCTCCTTTAAGGAATTGCACAATAGACTTGCACATGCATCCATGTGGTAATTTGAATAAACAGAATTTAAAATGTAGCTTCTTTAAAAAGGAAAATGATACAAAAAAGTTTTTGAATTCAGAATTAAGTGCCAGCATTGAGGGTTTTCAAAAATAATGAACTGTCCACTCAACTAATCTTTTAAAGACTCAGGAGATAACAGTGGGAGGATGATGTTACAAATAATCAAAGATAGTAGCATTAAAAAACATATATAAAAAATTGACTGAAGAACAATACTAAGCTTTTCTTTCTCAGAAATAATAAGAGCAGCCTAATTTATTGTTCATTGTGTCTGTTATGGAATTCTTATTCTCTACACAGGTACATCACTATTAATACCCAATATTATAAAGAAGACAGATCCTCTGCTGGTGTAAACTGGTGGACCTCAGCTGTGCTGAAAGGAGAAATGTTGATTTACGTTACTTAGGGAGATGGAAAAGTGGTTGAATTCTTTAAAAGGGTACAGATTTGCATTTGTTCCATTTTCCCACTCTGAAGATGGTGTTGCTTGTCACTGCAAAATTGCTTACTTCTTTTCAGTCATTTTGAGTTGTCAGTGGACAAAAGCATTTAAAGCTGTGTCAGTTGGATGACTATTCCTAAGGAAGGAATCCCTGGCTCAAGACCCTGCCCTTCTATATTCATACTTGGATTTACACTGTTATTTCCGTATTCATGCAAATATAACATGTCACTCTTCCTTTGTTGTAGGTTAACCTTGGCTGGATGCCAGGTGCCCACCAAGCTGCTCTATCACTCCCATCCTCAGCAGGACAGGAAAGGGACAAAATAAGATGGGGGAAAAAAAAGACCCAAACAAACAGCTCATGGGTCAAGATGATGGCAGTTTAATAGAAGCACAAAGCAAGGCCCATGTGTGGAAACAAAGGAAAAATCCAAAAATATTTATTCTTTACTTCCATTCAGCAGGTGATGTCTGGCCACTTCCTGGGAAGCAGGGCTTCAGTACACATAGTGTTGCTCTGGAGGACAAATGTCATAAATAACAAATGCCCCTCCTTCCCTCTCTGTTCTCCTAGTTTTTATTTCTGAGCAGACATCCTATAGTATGCGATATCCCTTTGGTCAGTTTGGTTCAGCTGTCCTGGCTATGTCCCCTCCCAAGACCTCCCCCACCCCCAGCCTACTGGGGGGAACAGAATGTTGGAGAGCCAACCTTGATGCTGTGTGAACACTGCTCAGCAGTAACCAAACTAGTGATGTGTTAGCACCTTTCTAGCTACTAATACAAAACACAGCTCTAAGGGGGCTGCTATGTGGAAAATTAACTCCATCTCAGCCAGACCCAATACAGCCTTAAACGTGCTGCTGTGATCCATGACCAGAAGAAACCAACAGTCCTGACTCCTGCTGCTTCTGGCCTTCACTGAAATTCTAGAGGTTGCAAACAGCAGCACTTTTTGCTTTGGAAAGCTGTCTTCTGAAAAGAGTTAAATTGTCTTCGTTTAATTTCAGATTTCTGGTTAAAAACAGGACTAGAGAGAACTGGAGGCAGGGGAGGAGGAGAGAAACAAAAACCTTTCCATCCCCATGGTGGACAAAAGTTTTGTTTTTTTTTCTGTTTCCCAGGCAGACATTTGCTGCCTGTTTCCCCATTGGGAAAACATGTATGAGTCCTTCTCAGGGACCTTAAACAACAACATTGTCTGGATGTTCATATTGCTATATTCAGGCTGCTTTTGGTATTTGTGCCCTAGCAGGTATTAAGATAGGACAGACAACCTTTGAATGAGTACTTTTTCTAAGGTATTATAAAACACAAACTATTTGCTGTAGGGAAGTGTTAATCAATTAATGTATACTTATACTAACTGAATATAGCTTTTAGATAGTTCAACCCCTTTCAGCCTAAAAAGAGGTTGAATTATAACAAACTGTTATACATAGTGTGACTTTTCATATAAGTAGCATCTTCAAACACTGAACAGGAAGAACCTACATGCAAAAAAATTAGGTATGCAAGGTACTTTTTTGCAGGATTGTGAGCAACATCATGAAAACTCAATTTTGCATCTCCTGAACCCACAGACTGAGTTTAGAGAGTAATAGAAGAAATTTTTTAGCCACATTTTAAAAATCTCTCCACAATGAGTGGAGAGATTTTAAAAATGTGGCTAAAAATGTAGTCCTTATTGAAGAAGACCATGGATTGTTTTAGTCATGCTGTGAATCCTGCTGTGATGAAAGTTTGTTTTCAAAATTAGAAAATATGCCATTCCACAAAGTTCACAGAGCACAAATAGGATATAATAAAAAGGAAGCTAAATATGTCTGATTTCCATTTGAGAGTAGGAGCACTCCCGTCTGAACATAATTTTCAGACTTTACAACATACCATGTCTTAAGAAAAAAAAAAAATTACTAGTACACAAAGTCTGTAGCTAAACATTTGCTCAAATATGTCAGCTCAGCTGATTGATAGAATGTGTTGGTGTATTTGAGAAAGTTGTTTTCCATTTTAAAGCAATCAGGGTTGTTTTGGTTTTGTTTTTATTTTTTTCTTCTTGTGTTCAACTATTGCTGGTCCCATTGCAATGAGACATTAAAATCCCACCAAAAGGGAGCAAAGTAAGTTTGTTACCAAAAAGGATATAGTGTTGGTTCCATTATAAAATGAAATAAAAAACTATTCTTATTCATAATTCAAATTATTTCAGTAAAATGAATAACACTTCATGAAGTTCAGTTTTGGGTTTTTAGGGGGTTCATTTTGAACAATGAATTAAATTTGCTTCTTTGCTACCTCAGGAAATTGGGAATATGTGTTAGAAAATAGATATGGATTCCTATTTCTGCACTAATCAAGTCCCTTTGTTATTGATAGTATGTGGAAGGCCAGCTGTAGAGGCAATCTTTATCAGATTTCTTTCTCCTCTTAAGGTCTTCTTGGTAGTGAACTTCTCTGTATGTTACTTTTAGCTAAATTTTGCAAAGTGACTGGTGTGTGCTGAAGGATCTGTCTTTTCTAGAGTGTAATGATTTTGATATTTGTAAAACGTTATTCTCTGTGTTCTTATGATGGCACGTGGTGACAGTTGCTAAACTAAGACCACCAGTAAATCAGTTACTGATTTCTACCGATTCTGTAGACGATGCGTATGCTGCTTGAGTGACAATGATCTCTCCAATGGGAGGACATGTGAATTTAAAATGAGCACTGCTTATGGATTGTAGGATAGCACAGGCTTTTGTGCCATGTGATAAAACATGTTTTCCATATAGATTTCAGGTCTTAGATACTTAAATGTTCCTTATTCCTCTGTTGCCTGTGAATCTCAAAACATACCTTCCTCAGAAATTCCTAAGAAGTAGGAAATTTCTGTTAGCCTGTTGTAATAGGTAAGAAACCCAAAGTTGGAAGAAACAGTGATTTATCCAAGGTAACGTTGCTACTCTGTGGGAGGAAGCAACTGAAGCAGTGTCCTAACTTTTGGCACATTCTTCCTCTTTAGTTGTCTCTCTCTCTTACTTCATTTTGCCTAGAAAAGAGAAGAGGAGGAAAGGCAAAAGGGTGAAGAACAAATAAGGCAGCAGGAAGAAATCCGAGCAAAAGAGTTGTATCTGAGCCTCAAGCAAGCTCAGCAGCATAATCAACACAGCGATGATGACCAGGAGTGGGAAGAACAGTGTGAGTAAAATTATCTTCACGGGATTAGTGTATTTCTAAAAGCAAATAAAAGGAGACTTGTAGAATGGAAAAAGTTGTTGCTGAAAATCCCTCTACCTAGAGCAATGCAAAATGCTATCGTATTTTGCAGGAAATTACCAGTTTGACTTTACAAACAGAAGTTACTGTGAGTTTACCAATTTCATGTTTCTTTCTGAATAAGAACCCATGTCAATGCCTTATAGAAATTTTTTTTGTGTGTAGTGACTAAGATAATTCATTTTTTTCTAAAGTAATTAACAGTTTTGGCTTAGTAATTCTGGACACAGTTATTTTGACATCATGTCCTCAGCTATCTCTGAAGAGGTAAAATCTGTCTTCATCTGTATTTTAATTACTTCCATATGGTGATGGAGTAAAGTTATATGATCGGCACTGAAACACACATAATTTCAAAAGAATACAGTAAATAATACTTAGATTGTTGCCCTCAAAAAAATTCTTATGATGATGATGATCTCACTCTATGGAGGTTGTGTTCCTTTTTAGCCACCCTGAAATTCTTTATTAATATCATCACTGTGATTAATTTGAAAATACATCAGTGATTTTTAAAAGTCTATAAGGAACAGAACAAACATATTACTATATATAGTTATACATACAATCTGTAGGTAAGTAAAGGTCCACATTGTGAGTAGGTAATACTCAATAGGTTATTGTAAATAAATTAGAAGTAGGAAATTTGGTTGCAATAAGAATTGTGCATTTTTGTTGGGAGAAGAATATTTTTTGTCACATTTGTACTGATATGATTACTCTGCAGAAAAAGGAAATGTAATAATTGGAAAGTTTTAGCTTATGTGGGGTTATTGTATTAATAATATACAAGGCAAAGGTTAATCAACTAATACTAAAAATGGAGTTTTAGGGAGCTGATAGTATGTGTTGCACAAAATACCTCATGAAGTAGGAAAAAATATTGCTGTAGTGTTACATATTTCTTGACAGAAGTAGATTAAATGTTTCAGAATATGCAACCCATTTATTTTCATAGAATCATAGAACGGTTAGGATT